TTTCATGGACCCCACCTTAAATTTAACGGGAAACTTGAATCTCATCACCAGTGGCACCCTATTTTCATTCTGCCCCTTCTTTAACGACGTCTTAACGGCGCTTCCTAGAACTATGTTGGACCCCTTCAACGCCGTTTGAAACACCGTCGCGTTGTTCTTTGGCTGGTAAAAAGAAGGCAAAACGCCGTCGCCTAACTTAACGTCGTTATAAAACACGTTACCGACGCTATTTTTTGAATAGTATATGCCAATCTTGTCGTTAGGGTTCTCCGCCCTGATGCCGACGTCAAATTCCGGTGACGTGAAAGGCACTGACGTCAGATTCATTCCTTTTATGGCGACGGAGGTTATTGTGTACTTCGGCGATTCTGGACGGAAGACGAGGTAGAGCACTCCAGCGGAAATTGCGGCGGTGACAATGAGAAGTAGTAGGAGGCAGAGAGTGAAGTAGCAGCAACGGCGGCAGCAGCTACGTTTATTCCTGCGTGCAAGGGCATGGAATTTGCGCGCATTTTCAGGTGGTGGATAGCGAAGGATTTGCTCTCTGGGGAGCTGGACGACATAAGTCGACGGAGGCGGCGGCACTGGCTTGGAATTAGGCTCCGGTTTCGGAGGCTGAGGTGCGTCGCCAGAGTTCTGCTCTGTGGATGATGGCGGCGGTGGAGGAGGGCCGTCGACGGTGATTGGATGAACGCGCTCGGCCATTCAGAAATACACCTATTAATTGAGACAGAGAGTATAATGGATTCAAAATCAAATATGAAACAGATTTCTGGTTGAAAATCAAGTACAGGAAAAATCTGAGGAGTTCAAAAATGGGTGTGGCGTTGTATGTATGCATGTATGTAATGAGGGGTGTGTGTGGGTGGGTGAATATTTCAATGAATATTGAAACATTCAAACTGAAAGTGATGGCCAATTTTCATAAAACGGTAATTCAATTGAATATTTCCTCAAATTTTTATATTACGGTGTTGCACACTCCGTCATGAAGGTGGACTTATTTCTATTTTCACACAAATTAAAAAATATAATTATTATAATTGAAAATAATAATATTAATATAAAATACATTAAATTTGAGCATATTAGAAAATTAAGAAATTAAATATATTTTCAACAAAGAAAGTGACTTATAATTTGAGAGAAGCAAAAAATGAGAGCAAGTGTATCTATATGGGATGAAAATAGTAGCTTATATCATATGTAATTGCCATGTAAATATTGATTTATTGTGTGGTGTAGTAATGTACCGATAGTGGTGGCAAAAAAGCTCGTCGGCTCGGACGGCTCGAAAAAAGCCCGAGCCGGACAGTACCAACAGTGGTGACAAAAAAGCTCGCCGGCTCGAGCTCGGCCCGGAAAAAGCCCGAGCCGTGCACGGTAAAATCGAGCCTAGGCTCGGGCCGAACCCCATTTTGGGGGGTCTGCCTAAGCCGGCCCGGCCCGTGTGTAATTAATTTTAAAAAATAAAAAATTTTTAAGCTGCCTACTTTGATAGTTGAAAAAAAATAAAAAATCGAGCCGGCTAGGCCCACTAAGGCTCGGGTCGAGCCTTATTTTTTTTTACCGGGCTCGACTCGGGCCCGAAAAAAGCTCGAGCCGAGCTCAAGCTTTTTTTTTTCCAGCACAGCTCATTGACATAACTATGTACCGATCAATAGAGAGAATTTAGGCGGTGGACGTGGGTTGTACTAGATCAATTTTGGGCTTAACTAGAAACCAAAATTGACCAAGTCGATTATGTAAAATTCCGAACCAAATTGGCACAACCCTAATATTGAAATCAAATCAACCCACATCAAACTATTTGAGCAAATAATATATCATAAAAAAATAATTGAATTTAGAGTCTAACACACAAAGGCAATTCAAAATTATGGATAGAAAATTATGTGCATTTGAAGTTAGGTAGTCAAGTATATTCGAGATTAGCACAATAAACTTGATATTTGCCCAACATACTCGAGATTTTATCAATGAATTCTATGTTTGGCCATAAAACTTGAGATTTGCCCAACAAACTTGAACAAATTCGAGGTTTTTCAAATAAATTTAAGGTTTGCCTAGGACAATCGAGATTGCTAAACAAACCTCTAATTCGTGGGACAAATCTCAATTTGCTATGCTCGAGTATGTTGATCAATTATCGTGTTTGCTCATTGTGGATATGTCGAGTTAGGTCATATCAAGTTGATGGTAGAACTCTAAACCCAAACTGAACCATCTATTTTATCCCTAAACTACATGAATCAAAATGAAAATCTAGGATAAATCGATCCAGATGAACTTGAGTCGGTTCGAGTTGGTCGTTTGAGGGGATTGATGGTTAAAATGCCCAGGCCTTAGAAAGACCACTCCGCAACTAGTGTTTTGTCTTGAATTCCAGGACTTTGTGTACTAGTAGCATATTTGCTATACTTCAAAAATATTCTTCTATAAAGTAAGTCAAGTCCAAAATAAATAAATTAATAATGAATATATTTCTAAGACCATCCAAACATGTAATTTTCACGTTTCGATTCAAAAAGATCGAAAGATGAAACGAAAGACAAAAAATGATCGGGATATTTGATATGCCCAGATTAGACTCGTTGAAATAGGATAACAAACAAACATCTTATGGGACTCTGTTATCTAGTCGAGCATACCAAATATACACGTAGAAAGTTATCTTACCTTGTATGACAGGAAAAATTCTGATAAAATGGAATAGAGAGAAAAATAGCCCAGACCAGAGTTTGATTTGAAATGTTGAAGATTGATATACTTGAGCAGAGTCTTTGTCTACTCCCTTTAATATTCCACTACAATCTTAACACTTAATAAATATTTAACTGTCCAATCAAATCTTTGTCATAATAAGACATTTTAATCGCAATTTTTTTTTTAAAATAATCTTTGACTAAGTGGATTAATCTTAATTATGAGACAATTGGACTATTAAACAAGAATTTTTTGAATGTTTCTAAACATGCAAATTGAATATTTCCCTTTAGAAAAATACATTTAAAAATAATAATTTATTTGTAAAATAATTATTTTATTATGTTGATCAATTCAAACCTCTGGCCAACCACTATGATTAAGATTGTTAATTAATTATTTAGCTCTAGATAAGTATTTGCAAGATAGCCAATTGTTTTTATGTCAATTTCTGCTTGGATTTTGCCAAATGGAAATTCCACTAGACACATCTCAATATTATAACAATTTTTAAATATTATTTTCCTATAGAGAAAGGCCAAATGACATTCAAGTTAAAAATTTAAATATTTGGGTTGAAATAAAATTTTTAAAAAAAAATTGTTTTTTGGTATTTAAATTCGATTATTAACCATGGGACTGTAAAGGATGTGAAAGGCAAAAGTGGTACTAGTAACTGCAATTATATACAATAAAAAGATACTTACAAGGTTAAAACTCTATGTTTCAAGGAAGGATAATAAGTCAATTGGACATATTAAAATGAAAAGGATAAAAGAAATGAAATGAAAT